AGTGGGGATTATCTGACTGCAAAAGGCTACCTAGAGGAATAGAGGAACAGTGCTTGCTCCCCCAAACTACTGAATGCTGTTAGAAATGTATTATTTCAGGAATTTTCAATGCACTTTATTAGCTAAGAGGAAGAGTTTGCTTTGGCAAAAATCTACCACATCACATGCTCCTAGGAAACTGCTGCATGAGCTCCTGAGAAAGGTCAGCAGGGAAAGCAAGACAGTACAAAACAACCTGCTAGCAGAACAAACAAAAACTAACAAACAAGCACCAGGTTATGACCTGCAAGCCCACATGCTGGACAACCTGACCAGCCACAGTTCCTCCGCAGGGTGAGCCCGATCCGCCCAGAGACGCCTCCCGTGAGGACACACTGCCTGCCTGCTCTTTGGGCCATGCTGGGGCGCTGCTGTGTTATTGCTGGCTGCTTGGAGACAGATCTGCTGCCTGCTGAATTGTTCTTTCTTGCTCTCAACCTCAACTCCTGGAGTCCCAAAACACAGCAACTGAAGGCACGGGGAGATTGTTCATTCCTGTAGTGGGGCAGACATGCTCCTAGACACATACCATGGAGTCTCAGAGCCGTTCCACACCTGAGGGTTTTGCATGTAAACACATGCCATTAGCTGGAAGCTGGTGACACGTAGCACTTGTGACATGGCCAGATAGTCTAAGACACCTTTGATGCTAACTCCTGGATGGCCCTGGTCCTGTTTGTGGCAGGTCCGTTAGTTTCTGTTAGCTTGACAGAATTGAGGTGGGAAGGGAAGATGTTGAAGGATAGGAGAATGGAATCAGTGAAGAACTGAGATGTATTTAGAACCTTTCCTCTTCCCCATTATTATTGAAACTCCAGCCATTCTCCGCTGGTCACTAAATTGTACTTAAAATTTCTGCCTTTGGGGCTCTCTCTTGGTTTGGATGAGGCAGAGAAAAGAGTGGGAGGGAGGGAAGGAAGGGGGGAGAGGGTTGGGAGCAGAAGTCTAACAAAGGATCACTTTAACAGAAACCACTGAGTAATCGCTCCAGCCTGTGCCAAGAATAATAGCAGCTCCATGTTAGCAATTAGAATCAGGTCAGTTGGGCCTCGTGGCCAGTGCAACCCTCCTTGCAGACCCCAGCATGCAGAGCTACTCCTGCTGATGTCACCAGCAGTCACTGCTGCCTAAGGAAGTCCCCCAACTCAGCTGGAAGAAGAGATCTTGTTTGTCTTCTCCCCCGGGGACAGAGAGCCAGGGCCAAGGGGAAGTGGGAAGCGGGGTGGGGGGCAAGGAGGGACACCAGAGGGAAGACACATAGTGGAATGTATCTGTCTTCACCAGACTGATTTCACTGCCCTCAGCTAGCCAGCCTGGAACCAGCCCTCTTCCAATCAGTTACTGCGTGTGGAACACCTGGCATGGTGCTGGGAACACAGGAAGTTTGTGGCGAGTTATTACAAGAAGGGAGGAATCCGTCCTGCACAGGGTTTATCTCTGCTCACCCTGAGACTTGAATCCTGGGAGTGGTGATTACTGAGCAGAATGTACCCTGATAAGGAGGAGGAGCAAGGAGGTATTCTGATAACTTATTTATGAGCAGGCTGTGGCAGATGGGGTGAAAAGGATGGCAACAAAGTTCCTATAAAAAAAATTACTGCCTGGAATTTTATAAGGGCAAATACTCCGTTTTTAACACATCCTACCTCCCTCCCAAAGGGTAGGAAATAAATAGCTATGAGGAGAAACTCTGGATCCCTTTTTCTCTAGGCTGACAGTCTCAAAGTATCTCAAAGGTCTCAGTAGAGTGTAGTTAGCACTCCATAAGCCAGACCTATAGAAACCCAATAGGTGAAGGGAGCAAGTGATGTTTTCCCAGATCCTTTCAAATGGCTTTCCTGCTCTTGACACTGGAACCTACAGGCTAAGTCAAGACCACTGCCTCTTTTGGCAAATAACACCAACCTGGGGACAGGGCATGCATACGCTTCCACGTTGGGAATGGCTGTATTCTTTTCACCACAGCAAAGCAGACAATCACCAACAGAAACCATACGGCTTGCAAAGATGAAGATGTTGACTATTTGGTTAAGTACAGAGAAGTTTGCTGAGCTCTGCTCTGACTTAAAATAATGTTTTCTAAACTGCTGCTCTGTCCCATCCATGTGTGTAAGCTCGAGTTTCAATTTCATCACTTAAGGCTTCATTGATAGAGTGAGGCACTCTTTCGACAAATGGATCACCTTGCACCACTCTCCTGGATCTCCTCCCTGGAAAACCTCTGCCAGTGGCTCTAGGTGACTTTGCTCTCTGGCTGTCAGGTGACAGGGCCAGCGCTTGACAGTCGCAATAGATTCATGACTCTAACTCTAGACAGAGATGAACTCTAGCGAAGCATGAGAGCCTGCAGGTGCCCCTTTCCAAATAAATGCACATTCTGAATCAAGAGTTTGACCTCCTGAAATCAACACTGTCAGTAAGCTGGGCATATTGGTGCCCTGACGGCAGGGAGGGTGGGGGGAGTGCGGCTCTCACACACGTGATGAGAGAAAGGCTGCATGAGTTTTCCCCATTTATTAAGACACAAATATGGGGAAGACACCATTCATAAAAAATAAACAATGCTATATTATCTAAGTGTGCAGCCCCCTGTAGCATCCTGTCCTTCAAATTGGCCCTTCTTCTGGATGAATGAGAAGTAAATCAGACTTCAGTTCTGCTTGCTGCTCTCAAACAGGCAGATTACTGCTTTTACCTGCATGGGCAGAATCTAAGGCACAGGAGTCCAACTCTATGTAAAGGGTTAATCCAAGGACACAAGACAGCAATGTTGAGAATGCAAAACATGCTTCCATCCACAATTCGGTGATAATTATAATGACCAGGTCTTGCACAGACAGCTGGGCTAAAAGCAAAGGCTTAACATCTAGCAGAGCTACGCTTCGGCCATGGAGTGATTCTAAATGCCCTCTGAAAATAGGTACTCGGAGTTACTAAGCAGTCTTCAAGTTAAAATGCTTAATATTCTCATCTGCTATTCTATTAGCAAACTTTCCAAATGAACAACGTTTTCATTTCTTCGGCTCTCCCCTACAGTTCCAAGAATCTTGCCTAGGTTTTTACTTGGGTTTAAAAGAACAGGAGGAAGGAGGAAAACGATGCTCTATACATACATAAAATCATGATGGATGATTTTCTGTTCTCTCTCCAGGAGACACGAGATAACTCCCTTCTTGGGAGTTCTGCCTCCTTCCTAAGACAGATATTCTGACAGTTTCTAAAAAAAAAATCATATTTTCCATATACTTCATAATTCAGTGAAACTAAACCAGTATAATCCCTCAGTGGAAAAAAAAAAAAGAGTCCACACCAGAACAGCAGTACTCTGAATTTTCAAAAGAATGTGAATTGCTGGAAGCTAATCAAAAGCACAAAAAATACTGAAGCAGTTTCTAAAAGTGAAAATCAGTAAAACTACCTCTAATTCCCTCAAACTTCAAAACTCTGCAAACACCTACCTTCATTTTTAAAAAAATTCATCCACCGCTTCAACGAAGGATGGCTGAAAGGAACAACTGTCTCGCTTTCTTAGAGTCACTGCTTACACTCACCGAGGGGGAGAAAGGCTTTCCATGAATGATATCCCTGTCAGCCACCATCTAGTTAGGCTGTCATTCGCAAGGACTCTAAGTGACTGGGAAGTTAGAAGTTTAAAAGGTTTCTAGAATTTTACATGGATTACAAAAAGACCTCCGATATGCACTTGCATCAGTAATTATAAAGACATAAATTAGGCTTCGTGTGTCTAGCATTCCGAAGACTGTCCAGAAGAGAGAACTTGCACATCGCAGAGGACAGTGTGGTGAGCTCAATGAGATGTTATACTCTACGTTGTCCATATTAAAAAGCTCAGAATTTTTTTCCAGTTACCAAAAGTTTAAAGAAGCCTGTACTCACAATTTCTCAACTACGATGCTGAGGAGAAAAGATAGAGTACACTATAAGATAAAGTTGACAAGCAATAAGCTATATCGAATAAAACAAAATAACTGTATTTCATGGTTGCTGAAGAGATGAGACAAGATTGAGAGCGCAATGAAATTGTTTTATGTGGCAGGGGGCGGGGGGTCAACAGCCCTCTGGAGAATGCAGCCTTGTCTTTGAGTGAATATTGATTTGGTAGAAACTGATACATACTCTATACTACATTTCTCTAAAAGAAGGGGTCAGTGACCAGAGAACAAGGTGACTGAAGTACTTCCTTGGGAAACCAAGTATCAGAGAAGCTTCTCCTTAGTCCTGATGCAGCCCAGAGTTCCTACTGTGGGACAGAGTGCCGAGTCTAATGGTGATCTGGAATGACGTGGAAGGACCAGGCAAGGTGCCGTGCTTGGTGGCCTGACTTTTTGCTGACAGCCTCTTTCTCTGTGATTGAGGCCATGTTGACATACTGATGCTACAAACTTAGAAAGCCCCCTCCCACTAACACTGTATCCAGTGGACAGGGGATCAACACCTCCCGTGCCTAAAGGCCACAACAGCATAGGTTTGTGTGGGTAAGGTCCCCAGCACAGCCCCCCTCTTTAAAGTAGTGCCCAGCATGTGACAGACACTCAATAAGCACCTGTTGAACGAACATGTATGGACTAACAACCTAACTCACAACCATCTTCTACAAGGGAAACTTGCAAGCTGAACTTGAAAACTAACAGATGACTGGCTGATATGGACTTCCTTGTAGGCAAGTCTACGGAGGCAAGGAACAGTGCATTTGGAGATAGTGTATCTGGGCACTGGATCCCCTGGGAAATTACTGACCTGAGACCATTCCACAGAATGGATAGTCTGCAATAGAGATTTTTGCAGAAAAATATTCACATGAAAGAATCAGGTAAAATACTACACCCTGTTCTATCAAAGTCAATGTTACGGCTTCAGTGCAGTTTCCTTGGAGAGTCCACAGTAGTACTTCCTGTGGACTGAAGTTCTTGGTACATCAGAAAAGCCTTATTTTGAATTACCTGGTGCCGGGCTCGACTCTGGTCCAGAAGCTGCCGGGACTGAAGTTTTTGCTGTTCAAGCTGCTGCAGGGCGAAATGAAGTTGGTAACTGCCGGCCGTGGGGTGATACTTGTGTTGGGGGACCACTCCTGTCGCCTTGCTATATGCATTGTTCTCCAGCTCCCCCTCCCATGCAAAGCCACCTGTTTGGAGGCTCCTGAGGAAGAAAGAAAGTAGATTTCTTAATCTGTGGGACCCATCTGAAGCAGAGGAAAGAAATGTCACAGGCCATTTTCCTTGAGAACTAAACACCATTTGGAATTGCAAAGTTGTTTGTGTGTGGTCAATGGACTGTCTCACTTAACCACCCTCTCCAGTTGTTCCCAGAGCTCATAAGCCTGGTGCATGGTCAGGGGACAGCAGGTACTCGCTGAGCATTCAAGAATCAAAATATCTTGTTCATTCCGGGGTGATTACCACAGGACCTAGAAGAGGTAGGAACTAAGTCATAATCACCTTCTCTAACGTCATCTTCAAAAGTAAAGAGGTGCATTTTGCAGGATTCTTAAGTCTTTACTCACTTACCCATTAATGAAATACCCGAATCTTTTTAGAAGCTATTAGAGTTATTTTCCTATTGTGGGATAACATACGTGGTGGTGACAAAGAGTACTGGTTTTGTTTTTCCAAATTTATCCCAGCATGATCCCCATCTAGGCCAACAATCAACACACACACAAGACAAAGGGCTAATGGTCTTTTTGACTAATAGGTATGCAGGCTACAGTGCTGGTTAAATTCCTTGACTACCTATCTTGCTCAGATTCTTAAGTTCTAGATGTGCTGGTCATGCCTGTGTACATCCAGGCAGACATTTTTGCTCTTACAGGCTCCTGCTTTTCCTCTCTGACCATTTCTTCCAGACAGAAAAGGCCCCATTTACACAGTTCATATCCTAAGCAAAAGCAAAACACCAGAAAATAACAAGTGTTGACAACCCTTGTGCACTGTGGTAGGACTGTAAAATGGTGCAATCACCATGGATAAATGCTTGGTGGTGCTTCAAAAAGTTAAACTTAGAGTTATCCTATGATCTAGCAATTATGCTTACTGACACAGGAGAATACCTACAGGAACAGAAATTAAAACAATACTTTACCTAAGTTCACAGTAATGATACTTATAATAGTCAAAAGATGAAAACAAGCTAAGTGTCCATCGGCTGGTAGAGAGAGGGGCAAAATGTGCTATCTGCATGCAGTAGAATAATATTTGACCTTAAGAAGCAAGGGAATTCCAACTCGTGCTACAACAAGGATGAGCCTTGAAGACACTATGCCAAGTAAAATAAGTCGGTCATCAAAGGTCAAGTATTGTAAGATTCCATTGATATGAGATACCAAGAAGATTCAAATGATAGGGACAGAAAGTGGAAGAGTGCTTGCCAAGGGCAAGGGGTTAGGGAGGTATTGGTTAATGAGTACAGGACTTCAGGCATTTGGGGTGGGGAAAGTTCTAGACAGATACGGTAGTGACAGTTGCACAGCAGTGGGAATTTGTGGGATTGCCACAGAATTATACCCTTAACATGATTATAAATGTAGATCTGGTTACATATATTTTGGTACATTCAGCTTGAGAACAGTCTTACTGACAGTTTTTCCAACTCCTGATTACTCCTCACTGGACTTTGTTTATCTACTTTTTGTTTGCCCCACCCCCCTTTGGGGTCTGCAATGCTAAGGGAACTGTGCATGGCAGAAACATTAGGAGGACTCTAGCAGAGCACAACCTCATCTGGAGGAATAAAACTGTGCCTAATTTGACAGTTGAGTTTATAGTGATTTCAATCACCGCATTCTTCTGTCCTTTGGTGTTAGCGATCTTTTCCCCACTCGTGTGAGCTCTGGCAGACCTTCCTCAGTCCTGACCTAGGGGTCTTCTGATTATTTATAGCCCAGTCCAATGACCCCTGGTGCAGCATTGTGGGAGCGAGCCCAGGGAAGGTTTCGTCACATCCAGAGATGCACGCTCCTCTCTGGCCTGGGACTTCCCCTCAGAGCCTGGTAATCCAAGGTCTCTGATTTCCCAACCTCTGACAAATGAAGATTCCCAAATACCTACTTCAGGGCAAGTCTATGAAACGTACACTCTGGTGCAAGGATGAAAGGTTTCCTAGTCACAGGATCTGAGCTCTGGTATGTCATGTCCCTTACTCTCCTCCCCTGGCTGTTGCCCACAGTTCGACTGCATAATTAACTAACACTGCTCAACCTTCATGGGGTACAAAGCTCAGAGCTTATTTATGAGATTTTTTTTTTTAGTACAGTATCTGTGCTTGAGTGATCCCTCTTGAAATGTCTAACTGTACATGCTAATCACAAAGAAAAACAAAATTATGAGATTTTTCCAAGGGCCTCCCCAAGGTATGGAGAATTGCAAGCACCACTGATCAAATGCAAGCAAGCAGCAAAGAACATTGAAAAAAAAAATGCTAACACTATTCAAAAGGGAGAATATTCAGTGGGAGTCAAAAGGATTACATGGTTAGGACAGGAGGGGCCCCAGGAATCTTGTATCTCTTCTCATTAAGGAAGGAACAGAAAAAGCTAACCAAAGATAGCATGCAAGAAACAGACTGAAGGAATGAGTGAGCTGGGGGAGAGGGGAAAAGGAAGGACATGGGAGAAAAGGATTTGGGTTTAGATGAGACAGGAAGTTTAAGGCACAAGGAGGCTGATTCAAGGGGACAGGTGAAAAGCAAAGAACATGTCTTCCGATAGAGATTCCCCTACTAGAGGTACTGCCTTGAATCTACTATTTATGAGAACTGGAGTGGGTATTAGAGGATTTATCTAACTCTGCAGCTCGCACTGAAACTCATCTCACTGGCAGATAGGTTGGTCTTATCTGCTAAGGGCTGTTTTTCTTAACACACTCTCAGAAGGGATCTGGTTAAATGTCTTTCCATTGTGTACCAGGAACTAGGCTTCCTTATTTGAGGCGATCACGGCCAGTCTGGGAAGTACAGGTTCTTAGGTCTGTGACCCACAAGGCCAGGGCCCACGGATGGATCGGGGAGGGACTCTGGGCAAGAGAAGGTCAAGTAAGAAACTTTGGATAGGAGGAGATGCGTTCTTCCAACTGCATACACATACTGAACAGGCTGGAACACCATAAACTTTTTATAATGAAATCTGTTTTTAATCTCATCAGCAACCCAAGCTGTCTCCAAATCACACAAGGAAGTTTCTCAAGCAAGCAGAGGCTTTAGCAAAGAGGGCAGGAATTTTTATGGTGCAACATCGGGTGCGGGTGGGGACGGCCCAATTGGGTAACCTAACAAGTGCCATGAGAAATGTACTGGTTTTGAACTAGCGTGGGAGTTTCCTTGGGCCATGGGACAGTTCACAGCAGGGTCTGTAGTGGGCAAGTATTATCATGGCGATCTGGCGGCCAGGTGCTCTATAATTTGGGTTTTCCCTGATTCTAGTGTCCGAGTGGACAACTCACACGTCCAAATACTCCCTCCCAGGGCGTCTGACAGATTGTATTTCTATCCCAAATTCCATCCCATTTTTTGATCTTCAATTCATTTCATCTTCCTGGTAACATATTTTCCACCCCCAAACAAAATTGAGATTCATTCTTCCTGAAATTTAATGGCTTGTATTATTTTTTGTTCAATAATAAAATATAATGGTGCGCATGCTCATATTCCCAGAAAAGAATTTCTAAGTTTTCCACTAGTTTTTACATGCTGCCAAGAGAGCAAAGTGTATGAGTGCTCTGCATGCTAATAAACACCTGATTCAAAGTCAACTTCACTGCATTCTGCCCTTACGATCCACAGAGCTAGTGGGTGATGACAGCTCAAAGTACTATCTTCTCTTGCTAGCGTATTACCCATTTAGAAAGCTACCATGCCCTTGGTGCCATAACAGAGGACAGAGGACAGAACAAATTGATCAACTACCCCAACCAAGAGTTGGCAGTCGAATATCTGGGCAAATGGAGACTCTAAATTGGACTATGTCGACCTGTGGATTCTGGAGATTTCATCGTGCTTGGAGTGGAGAGACTGACAGTAAATAGGAACTATTGAACTAACAAAACCTTTTGATCAGGACCCTTAGAGCACGCCCCACATCCGGGATCCTGGGATGGCGTCAGGTGACTGTCCTCCATCCCAGGATATGGAGGCGGTTGGAAGGCTGGGTGTGGCTTTTCCCTTAATCCTCACATACAGGAAGGAAAAAAGAGAATGTGGAAATAATGGTCTCACCCACCTTCCTCCTATAGCCCTTGATCCTTTGCACCCTTATCAGCTATGTACAAAATCTTCAAAAATGAAAATAATTATCTTAATAAAAAAGAGAATGCTACCGTCCTTTCTATATTATACTGTGGTACTGCTGGATGCAATACTTGTCTCTACAACCATTCTCCTGCAGCACTCCCTCCAGCCAATACACACGGAAGTGTGACACTTTTTCCTCTGATTTCACATCTGTTCTGTTGGATGATAAAATTTTTAGGAAACTTGGATGGAATCCACAAACTGCAAAGCAAAATCTACTTGGCATGTGGTTCCCCTTGCCGGAAAGCCGTGTTTGCATCATCAAGGTTTCCTGAGATGATGTGATGTCACAGGAGTGCAGGGTGGGGCCACGGCACAGGGCTGTGGACACCCTTCAAAGTATGATTCTGCTATCCATTCCCCCGGGGTCCTCCACCCAATCCCTGCCAGATGGCCACCACAGACAGGGATGCCCCTGCCCCTCCTGACATATGTTTGGAACCCTAGGTAGGGTAGAGAGCTGAGGATGTAATGGACACTTCATAGCGGAGGCATAAAGCATCCAGAACCGCAAAGAGAAATCCTGCCCGGGTTATGGTGTGCTGCTCCAAGTGTGAGTGGTGCTTCTGCTGGGAGGCAATCAAGACTTGCCTTCTGGGGGAGAACTTCAGGCATGCGCCACAAGAATGGACAATCCTTTCACCTGACACTGTGTATAAATTCTCCAACCTTCACAAAGGGGTCCTGGCATATAGACATAGGCTAGACAAAGGTGTCCTAGATGACATGGGGGTTCCCCACAAGCGGCACAAAGCAGTGGCAGCCAGAACACGGAAGCAGCATGGTTAGGAAGGTGTGACACTAGGGTGGGACGTTCCCTGGACTTGGGGAGGTATTTCCAAGGACAAAATTAACAG